CAGCTTGATTTTCAAGCCACCAAGTACAGAATTCAAACCGTGGACATCCATGAGGAAGTCTAAGGCTTTAACCACCATGCCAACTACTGACCACAAAGGTGGGGATCCTGTAAATTCACTGCAAGCAGGGAGTGTACCTGTTCACTTACTATAACCTTGATGCCTTGTACATAGTAAGTCTACCAGAAATATCTGTTAAGTGAATGAAGAAATATTAGGTTGTTGGGAAAGTCATGATGCATTTTTGCATAGAAGAATATAAAAAAAAAAAAACCATCATGACATTTCTAACAATCCAATAGTTCAGGTCTTCCTCTGCTTTAAGTTAGGATTATTATAGAAACTATCTTTAAGGAGGAACCAGCAGTTGGCGTAATGGCTATGTTGCTGGATGGACTCCCATGGAGTTGACTGCGGTTTGAGTCCTGGACCCGGGAGCTTAAACTCACACTGGGCGCATGTGCATGCGTGCCCAAGATCCTGGGAGGAGAAGGGATTGCATCATGGCCATCCCCCCTGGGGGGTGATTTCTCACTTTCTGTCTGGCAAGTGCACATGCCCTATAGCAAAAAACCTCTCCAAAAAAAAAAGAAGAAGAAACTATCTTCAATTAGGGAAAATGCATAAATAAATAAGAGCAGGCCATTGAAAACAAATGTGAAAAAAATTTTGACGCATAGATTATAAACCTAACACATTTGGAGCAATTTATGTGTACTTTTCCACAATTTTGTAAAAAAATAAAAAATTTTAAAAATTACAAAAACAAACAGACTGGGTGGTGGTGCAGCAGTGAAATGCCACACTCTGTGAGGCTGGCCCACGTGGGAAGGTTCCGAGTCTGTACCTGGAGACCGCCCTGAGTACAGTGGGCATGCATGTGCCCATAACCGGGGCTGGATCAGTGTCAAGACCTCGTGGGAGGTGTTGTAGCTCTGTCTCTGCATCTTTCACTCACAGAAGAAATGAATTAAAGGAAATCTTAACAATTGCCATTGCCACCATCACTACTGGTATCTGTTAAGAGCCAAGTGTAGCTCTGAGCATTTCACGTGTAGTAACTCATTTCATCTTCACAACAGCGATCTGTGATAGACACTTTTTTTTTTTTTAAAGGTTTTTGCCATAGGGCACATGCACTCACCAGACAGAGAAAGTGAGAGGGAAAGTGAGAAAATTCTCCACAGGAGGGATGGCCATGCCATAATCTCTTCCTTTCTCCTCCTGGGATTTTGGGCACACACGCACACGCACCCAGTGTGATTTTCAAACTACCAGGTCAGGGACTTGAATTACAGTTGGCCATGTGGAAGTCCAGCACCTTAACCACCATGCTACCTGCTGGCCCTGTGGTAGAAACTACAATCCCCATTTTATAAATAAAACTGAAGATCAGAGGCATTAAGTAACTTTTCCCAGCAAATCAACTGCCCATTCAATATTCTTCCCCAGGTGCCCAAGCCAGAAACCAAGCAGTTATCACTGGTCTTCTCACTCGCCTAACATGGGATCGCCCGTCACCAAATCCCATGGACTGTTCCTCTGAAAGTGCCATTTCCATCTCCGTAGAGACTCCCTTAGTTGTGGCTATTACCTCTCACCTCAATGACTGCAGGCCTCCTAACCACAGTCTCTGCCTCTGGCTAAGCCATAGTCTATGCCACCTGTAGAACGATCTTTCTAGAACTGAGATATCATCAAACCACTCTCCTATCTAAACGCCTTCAAATAATAGCTACAGAATAAAATTCAACTTCTTTTTTACGGTTAAAAAAACCTTTTAGAGTGGCTGGCAGGTGGCGTGGTGGTTAAGGGCACTAGACTCCCATACGGCCAGCTGCAGTTCAAGTTCCAGACCTGGTAGCCTGCTTTCTCATTTTCCCTCTCTCTCACTCTATCCCTCTCTGGTCAAATTTAAATAACTAAATTAATTAATTAATTAATAAAGTAAATAAAATAATTATTAAAAAAAAAAAAACACCTTTTAGGACTTGACTCTATTCCTTACACAGGCTCATCTTCTCTAACTTCCTTCACGAACTGTAATCATTCTGACCTTCTCATTTTCTTCCTTTATTTAAGTTTCTTACTTTTTTTCATGCTAGAGAGAAACAGAAAGACAGACAGACATCCTTGACAGGGACTTACCACACCGTAATCTTCTCCCAAGTCTCCGAGCTCACCAGGATGGCGAGCACACACAGGTGCACTGGCATGTTCAGGCCGACTCGGGCTCTGACCCTAGGCCTTCGGTGTGGCTCCTGTATAGCACGGCGGCACCCTACCACCTGTGCCATGGCGGCTGGGCCATCTCAGTTCCCTAAACACTCCAGGTTCTTTTACGCTTCAGCATATGCTCTAATGGAACGTCCCTGTCTCCATTCTCCATGTGGATAATCCTTACTCTTTCTTCCCAGCTGAGAGCAAACAGCCGGTTCTAAATCCACTTCTCCCTTCGCCTACAGCAATGCCCCCATTCCACCCACTTGCTCAGGAGTCTCCTTCTTTGTATTCACATTATCCTTACGTTTACTGCGCTGTGTTTCAATATTTGCCAAGAGCAAGGGTTCTGGAGCCAGACTGCCCGAGTGTAAATCCAGGCCCAGCGTTCACTACGTAACCTCGCCAAGCCGGACACTCTGGTCTCAGCTTCATGAGTTATGAAGAGTATACTATCCACCACCGACAGCTGACGTGAAGATGAAATAAGTTACCCTGCACAAGTGCTAGGAGCTGCCCTTGGCTCTTAACAGGTATCATCAGTGATGGTGGTGATGGTCAGTCACACCTCTGACACGAGATAGCGCCTCAAAGGCTCGAGTGGCAGACATTCACAGAGTGGTTATAGGAACATAAGAAAGGCAGTAATCTGAAAGAAAAGAAAGGAAAAAAAAAAGAAAGAAAGAAAGGAAGGAAGGAAGGAAGGAAGGAAAAGAAAAGAGAAGAAAACTGGGAAGACTTACCACCATTTTTGCCCACAGTTCGGAAGCATCTCCAGAAGGCCCGTAAAAATGATGCCCTATTATGAGGGGTAGCCTGGATGAAGCTGAATTCCCGAAAAAGAATGTGAGTTCCTTGGCATACACTGTTAAAACTGCAAAGAGAAAAATCAAGAAATCATCATTAGATGGAATCAAGAAGGCTGGAATCAGAATGAAAATCTGAGATCACATGGAAACATTGCCAAAAAAGGAGGGAAATCTTTTTTCCCCCCAACAAAACTCTGATTATAGACGAGACAAAGTCCTTCTGGAGAGAGTCTCTGTATTACCATATCTTGTGAAAACTCTCGGAGTACGGGTTCTTTGAATGCTCTTCCCACCTCTCCATGTATATACTGAGGAAACGTTAATCAGTCTCTAGAGCATCTCATGTAAAGGGAAATAGTTCAGTCTAGGTTTGTTTATGCTTTTTTTTTGCACACCCCCCACCCTGCCATGGGACCTGGTCACACTGCAACCTTTCTTCCCCCATTCTGTTGGGATTCTGGGCACGCACACTATATGTGTCTGGTGAGTGTTATTTTTTAATGAATTATTTAATTATATTCATTATTTTTATTATTTATTTTTAATTTAACCAGAAAGAGACAGAAAGGGAAAGTGAGAAAGCAAGCTGCCAGTTCCAGAACTCGAATTGTGGTCAGCCATGTGGGAGTCCAGTACCTTAACCACTACGCGACCTGCCGGCCCCACCTGGTGAGTTTTTGAAGCTGCTGGGGATTTGAACTGTGGTCAGCCATATGGGATCTGGCTCCCTTAACCACTAGGCAACAGGGCCGGCCCAATATTTCAGTCTTTAAGATATGTGGCATTGGCGCGTATATCTTTTTCTCTATCTCTTTTTGAATAATGTCTCCTTAGAGATACTCTTTCTGTCCTGTCCCTGACCTGGACCAGATGCCACAGGATGTGAGGATTTATGGAAACATAACTGAACTGTCTGCTCCAGTTTGGAGTGTTGTTGTATACCTTCCTGACAATAACCCAAGACAAATACCAGATGTCAAAGGACAGGAAAGGTGTGAAAAAGAACACTAAAGGCAAAGAAGAAGAACAGGGTAGAAAGTGGCCCCTAAATGAGAGTATGAAGCAAAGCCCCAGGGCTCAAGTGAGTCATTGATTAACTTTTTTTCATGCTAGAGAGAAACAGAAAGACAGACAGACATCCTTGACAGGGACTTACCACACCGTAATCTTCTCCCAAGTCTCCGAGCTCACCAGGATGGCGAGCACACACAGGTGCACTGGCATGTTCAGGCCGACTCGGGCTCTGACCCTAGGCCTTCGGTGTGGCTCCTGTATAGCACGGCGGCACCCTACCACCTGTGCCATGGCGGCTGGGCCATCTCAGTTCCCTAAACACTCCAGGTTCTTTTACGCTTCAGCATATGCTCTAATGGAACGTCCCTGTCTCCATTCTCCATGTGGATAATCCTTACTCTTTCTTCCCAGCTGAGAGCAAACAGCCGGTTCTAAATCCACTTCTCCCTTCGCCTACAGCAATGCCCCCATTCCACCCACTTGCTCAGGAGTCTCCTTCTTTGTATTCACATTATCCTTACGTTTACTGCGCTGTGTTTCAATATTTGCCAAGAGCAAGGGTTCTGGAGCCAGACTGCCCGAGTGTAAATCCAGGCCCAGCGTTCACTACGTAACCTCGCCAAGCCGGACACTCTGGTCTCAGCTTCATGAGTTATGAAGAGTATACTATCCACCACCGACAGCTGACGTGAAGATGAAATAAGTTACCCTGCACAAGTGCTAGGAGCTGCCCTTGGCTCTTAACAGGTATCATCAGTGATGGTGGTGATGGTCAGTCACACCTCTGACACGAGATAGCGCCTCAAAGGCTCGAGTGGCAGACATTCACAGAGTGGTTATAGGAACATAAGAAAGGCAGAAGTTTGAAAGAAAAGAAAGGAAAAAAAAAAGAAAGAAAGAAAGGAAGGAAGGAAGGAAGGAAGGAAAAGAAAAGAGAAGAAAACTGGGAAGACTTACCACCATTTTTGCCCACAGTTCGGAAGCATCTCCAGAAGGCCCGTAAAAATGATGCCCTATTATGAGGGGTAGCCTGGATGAAGCTGAATTCCCGAAAAAGAATGTGAGTTCCTTGGCATACACTGTTAAAACTGCAAAGAGAAAAATCAAGAAATCATCATTAGATGGAATCAAGAAGGCTGGAATCAGAATGAAAATCTGAGATCACATGGAAACATTGCCAAAAAAGGAGGGAAATCTTTTTTCCCCCCAACAAAACTCTGATTATAGACGAGACAAAGTCCTTCTGGAGAGAGTCTCTGTATTACCATATCTTGTGAAAACTCTCGGAGTACGGGTTCTTTGAATGCTCTTCCCACCTCTCCATGTATATACTGAGGAAACGTTAATCAGTCTCTAGAGCATCTCATGTAAAGGGAAATAGTTCAGTCTAGGTTTGTTTATGCTTTTTTTTTGCACACCCCCCACCCTGCCATGGGACCTGGTCACACTGCAACCTTTCTTCCCCCATTCTGTTGGGATTCTGGGCACGCACACTATATGTGTCTGGTGAGTGTTATTTTTTAATGAATTATTTAATTATATTCATTATTTTTATTATTTATTTTTAATTTAACCAGAAAGACAGAAAGGGAAAGTGAGAAAGCAAGCTGCCAGTTCCAGAACTCGAATTGTGGTCAGCCATGTGGGAGTCCAGTACCTTAACCACTACGCGACCTGCCGGCCCCACCTGGTGAGTTTTTGAAGCTGCTGGGGATTTGAACTGTGGTCAGCCATATGGGATCTGGCTCCCTTAACCACTAGGCAACAGGGCCGGCCCAATATTTCAGTCTTTAAGATATGTGGCATTGGCGCGTATATCTTTTTCTCTATCTCTTTTTGAATAATGTCTCCTTAGAGATACTCTTTCTGTCCTGTCCCTGACCTGGACCAGATGCCACAGGATGTGAGGATTTATGGAAACATAACTGAACTGTCTGCTCCAGTTTGGAGTGTTGTTGTATACCTTCCTGACAATAACCCAAGACAAATACCAGATGTCAAAGGACAGGAAAGGTGTGAAAAAGAACACTAAAGGCAAAGAAGAAGAACAGGGTAGAAAGTGGCCCCTAAATGAGAGTATGAAGCAAAGCCCCAGGGCTCAAGTGAGTCATTGATTAAGCTGAGCCAGAGAAGGGAAAAAATAGTCTCCATCGCCTTTGGGTTCTCCTGCCAAAGAAATAAAGGGCCTGGTGTAATCTAAAAATGGAAATTCCACCAAAAAATAGGCAATTATCCAGTAATCATCCCCACCAAGAGCAGACGTCAGGTTCCAGAAAACTCTTAAATTCCCTGACAAGTAAATCATGCGTGGAAAACATGTTTATCTTTGTGGAGACACAGACATTAAACTAAAGATAAAAAGCAATGGAGGGAACCATGGCAATTCCAAATGCTAATTTTCATGTGTTGACCATTTGAAAGGGAAAAAATTCTCAATCTTTGAATTGAATAGGAAATCTGAGGAGCCATCTATTCTAATTCCTTTCTCCCAGGCCAGCTTCAGAGGGAAGTGTCTAACCTGTCTTAACAAACAGTATGTTATCATTTAGGATAAAATTAGTCTCTTCCTATTATTAACAGAACCTTAAGAAAAAGCAAATTACATACTCTTCTTCTGCCAGAGAAAACAAGCATGGAAATCTACTTCTGGAGCAGCCCCAGAGCACAGTGATTAGGGGCGCCAGATCCTCCAAGGCTGACCGCAGTTTGAATCCCAGCCACAATGGCATGAAAAGCATGCTGGGTACATGTAGACAGTTGTCCAAAATCCTGGTGAGATGAAGACATGAAGGAAAAAGGATTGCAATGTCACCTCGCTTCACTGAAGGATGCTTTCTGTCTCTGGCGAGCGTGTGTACCTTCTGGCAATAAAAAATGAAAATAGTTTAAAAACAGAAATCGACTTCTAAGTCACTGAAGAAGTATAATAAGCCCAATACCTAAAAGGGACTATGTTAAGAGAGAGATGTTTTTATTGTTATTTGTTTTGTTTATGCTAGAGCATGCATGCACTCACCAGAGATGGACAGATAGACAGAGAGGGAGAGGAAAAAGCAGCACCCCAACTTGGTACCCCAAGGACAAAGGGCACACTGCAATCCCTTCTCTTTCATCTCTCTCTCCTGCTGGGATTTTTGAGTGTGCATGAGCACATGCCCAGAGTGTTTCTCAAGCTTCTGGGTCCAGGACTGGTATGTGATCTGGCCACCATCACCACTAGGCCACAGAGCCAGCTTGGGAGGTTTTTTAAAAGCAACTAAAGTGTTAACCTAACCATGTAGCTTATGGCAGGGCTGCTGTCTTGAACAAAGGAAAATGAAAAATACAGCAAATGAGCTGTTGCAGGTAAATGGAGTAGGCTACATTTCTAGCAAATGAAGTCTGAAATGGTAACATTGTAGCCTAAATTTATGAAGCTATCCAGCAAAGAATTAGCCCCACAGGGTGTTTCATACCCTAAGGGGGAAAAGCTGGTGTCTAAGCCATGGTCTAAAAAGTAAAGGAACTAATAATAGCGAAATCAGATCCTTAGTATAGCTTTTTAAGACCATCTCAAATGCCACATTTTGTGAAGCCTTTTCCTGATTCTGTGCCCCATACTCAATTTCCATGACATCTCACTCATAACTCTTTAATGGTACTCACAATTTGCTGCCTTGTTTTAAAGTGACTAGACTCTTTTCCCTACTAAATTGTATGGAGTAAGCAGTTAAGTCGTACTCATCTTTATCTCTATATTTTAAGGCGGGAAAGTCATGGCGTATTTTTCTGTTTTCTATGCAAAATGCATCATGACTTTCCTGACAACCCAATAGTAGGTAGAACATATCTGCAGCTAGCCACACTGGGAAGACTGAAAGTCAATATTTTAAATATTTTTAAGACATCCAGGTGGCCCAGTCTGGTGGTGTAATTGGTAGCAAATTGGGCTGCAGGACTGGAACCCACTTGACCAACCACAAGTTTGGATTCCCAGGTCTGCCTGAAAACAAGCCGAACATGTGTGTATGTGTGTGTCTGTCCGTCTGTCTGTCTCCAGGATCCTGACAAGCTGGAGGGCTGGGAAGGTGGGATCGTGAGTGAAGGGACACTATCAAGTCACTTCTGTCTCTCTGTCCACACATCTATCATGAATATAATCAGTGAAGAAAAGACAGTTTTCAATGGTTGGTGCTGGGAAGACTGCATATCTACCTGCAGAAGAATGACACTTGACTCCCCTCTCTCACCCTTAACACAGATTGACTCAAAGTGGATTAAAGATTTAATGTAAACTGAAAATGGCAATGAGCCCTGACCTACATGGGAAGCCACAATTGGATTACAGCAGTTGACAGTCATTTTAATGCCGTTCTCTTATCTTCTTTCTTTCTAAACCAGTTCAGCTGATTAGAGTGAACTGTCTTCTGTTCTGTTAGGATTTGCACTGTCTTCTGTTCCCAGCTGAGTGGGTTTTTTGTTTTGTTTTTGATTTTTTAAAGGAATCCTATACAGACTTACCAAGTAGCAAAAATAGAAGGGGACTTTTAAAAGTTCATGGAAAAGTGGAATTAAAGTAATAATTTATTTTGGTGCAAAATAATCAAAATCCTTACATAGTTTTTTTTTTAATGTGCATTTTTCCATGAACTTCTCGAAGAGCCCTCTGTGAGACCAGATCACACATCTGTGTGCGATCCAGACACAGAACACAGATCAGCCTCTGAAAAACACACAAGACCGAAGACCCAAAACATCTTGGAAAATAATCACGATGTAAAGTAAGTTCTTCCTTCCATAAGCATAAGAGAAAATACATACCCTGTATTGGGAGTGGGGAGTAAAGACAACTTCTGCAGCGCAGTTTCCGAAACAGGTTGGGAAACGAGCTCTGCTCAGCAAAGAAGTCACCAAACCCGAAAGATGTGTTCCCGCACATGCCTTGGTCTCCTAATAATCCCGGGGTTTGTTCTTTCCTTCTTTGTAAAATTTACATGGAGCCTAAAGCCCTTCAGTGTTTTCTTTCCGTGCCTATCTGCTGAAGAATTTGGCAGTGGTAACTAGAAGAGAATATTAGTGGGGCATGTCAGCTCGATCCATGCTGCAGAGCCCAAAGTAGTTTCCACAACACACTTGAACAAACGTTGCCTCACACCAGCTTCTTCCTTTGAGAGGTGGTTTTTTGTTGTTTGGTTTTAGTTTTTGTTTTTGTGCTATAGGGTGAGTATGCCTGCTTGAGAGACAGAGAGACAGAGAAAGAAAGCAATAAATCACCCCCTCCGGGGGTGGGGAGGATGATCACATCACAATCCCTTCTCCTTTTGGGATTTTGGGCATATACACACATGTACCCGGCATGAGTTTCAAACCACCAAGTTCAGGACTCAAACCGCAGTCAGCCACACAGGAGTCCAGTGCCTTAACCACTATGCCACCTGCTGGCCCTAATCAGTTTCTTTCTTACAGAGTGCTCCAAAGAAGGTTCTGCACAAAAGTAGCTCAGCGTTTCTAAATGTTTAATTCTCTACTGGGCTGTTGTTACCTGTCATTCTGTTGTCCAAATATACAATACACCTACTCAGGGGGAAAAAAAGTAAGCAATACGATATCCAAGGAGAAAGGTGACAGTGTAGTTTTATTTATTTATTTATTTTTGAGAGTTTTTTCACTATAGGGCGCGTGCACTCGCCAGACAGAGAGAGACAGAGAGACAGAAAGCGAGAAATCACCCCCCAGGGGAGATGGCCACGCAGCAATCCCTTCTCCTCCATTCTCCTCTTGGGATCTTGGGCACGCACACACGCCCGACGTGGGTTTTAAGCCACCAGGTCCGGGACGCGAACCACGGTCGACTACGTGGGAGTCCAGCGACATAGCCATTACGCTAACTGCTGGTCCCGACAGTGTAGTTTTAATATATGGTGTAGCTGGAATGAGTTTCTGTCCACACGTGTGCATCAGGTGACGTGCTGGGTTCTCTGACTATGGGTTCCCCTGGCCATGAAGAAATAAGAGTACGTGATTTAAAAAGTAGACATGCTACAGGCGAGTGCTCGTGGTCCTCATCTTCTCATGGCCAGCCACTGGTCCAGTCGGAGGCATTATAGGA